TCACCCGGTATAATCTCACGTTTTCTGTTTACAATATTAGACGTGCTTATCACAGTCATGACACGAGGGCGCTAATTAAAATGACGAGTCCGTTATTCACGTCAAGTACATTTCACACTGATCCGATGTACATTTCTTCTTTCAGATTTCTGTAGAGCTCAGTTTTAGTTTCTCCATAATCATCACAATCGGTGACCATGATTACTCCAGGGTACTTATTGACGTACGCCCCCTTAAGTTCACAATCTCTCGACAACTTTCACACTCGCTGGAATCTATGGAATGATTGAATGTCCACAAAACCCACACATATATTCCGTCTGATACGGATCACATACAGTCGTACAGATAGGGGGTATCCAAGTGGAGATCACCGATAAAACAATTAATCGCGATATCCTACCGTCACGATGTATCAGTGGGTTTGCATAAATTGAAGTGATCGTCTTTTGACGTCAACTTGCTCTGCGACAGAATTCCCCCGATACAGCCATTTCTTTTATAACGAGAACTTTCTGTACCAACAGAAATTACACAAATCGGTGAAATGATCGTTCAGCATGACTTTCCCACAGAGAATGACGTAAACACAACAGGGAGACTGGATATTGGTTCAAGTCAAACTGAACAAAGTTGTCCTGCGTGCGTCTCCATCTACTCAGACCTATACGTGTTACTGTTTCTTGGCGCCAGCATGGTTACAAATGATTTAATTGGAAGAGAATGTGATAAAAAGGACAGGTACGAGATGTCCTTGTATGACGTAAATTGTTCCAGTCCTTGCAAAAATGAGAACGTAAAGTGAGAGTTGTTCTACTAGTTCCCACAGTAGATTAATGAGAACCTTCAAACAATGTCATGCTATTGGAAACAAATAACGACAAAGAAAGAAAAGGGCTTGCTGGTATGAAAATGAAATCATTATAGATGAATTTTGCTTGAGGAATTGAAATAACGTAGAAGGGATAACGGAAATTAAATTTTACCACGGGGAGCTGTGTCAAAGCAAAATCCGTTCTCGTGAAGCCCTCCTTAATAATTGACGACGATATATTGGCACTCGTCACTCACCGGCGATCTGCTAAATTAGTCTTAGATGATATGACATGTGTAGTGTCCATCCTTGTGAGCGAGGCTTTGGTCTGTCTCCGGTAGTATCCCGTCATTTAATCACGGCCCAAATGAGAGCTTAAAGTACGGCGTATGACAGCTGTACCTACTGTACTAGGGAGGTCGAACCTTGCATTGAGTAAGCAGCGTATCAAGCATTTTTTAAATAAGATGCCCCAGTCGTCGGAAAAGACTTTGTCGATATGAGTCCCATGCGACGTACACGACGCGGGTAAAAATACGTTGTTTGATTCCAAGCATACAACATACGGACACGCGCTGCGCGGCAACCGTGGCGCTGCGCGGCAACCGTGGCGATGCGCGGCAACCGTGGCGCGTCTCTAAATGCTAAAGAAATCTCTATTAAACTACTAACTATGATGATAACACCTGAATGATATATCTCACGTAATGTATTTCATGTATAGCAACAGTGTTAATTTCACTGCCATGAGTTCACGCTCCTAACGACGACCTCTATCCGAACCCGTAGTGTTACATAGAACAACATTTTTCGCTTGGATAATGCCAAAGTCGTAATTGAATACGTTCACGTACTTCATTGCACAAAACACGTGGTCGTAACCTGTGATTGATAGTGTTGCAACAAATTCACCTATGTTAACGTATTCGTGACTGGTCATATGTTTTAGCAAGAATAATTCATTATCATGTGACTGTCCTGTGAGAATTTAGATGACTTGTATGTTCATAAATTCCTATCAATAAACCGTTATATGTTACGACCTCAAGCGACGAAGAAATTCTGTGACGTAAATGGATGTAAGCAACTATATTTACAGTGTTATAATTGCTTTGATTTGTGGCCATCGTCTACAATGCACAATAATATTTTTGATAGACCTGCTATATTCCACATTACAACGACTACACAACCATAGAGAGGTGTATATTTTAACGACAGTGCTTACACCTACCTACGTCATTTTGGCGCCACAGACGTGCGCGTCCATAGAGAGCGCGACTTATTCTGAATGCAATGTGTGATACCTGTATCGTTTTGGAATAAATCAGCACTCGCTCCGTGCAAACAAACATACACGCTGATTCTGCCGCGGGCAATCTCGGCTGCCCCAGGGCAGAGATTGCGAAGAAAAGTACATCTTTCTAATAAGTTCAATTATTGGAGGAAAGTAGCAGCGTCCCGTGAGAGTCACGGGAAGAATGAACGACCCGATTACCTGACCTATTATGTAACCGATAAAGCTATAACTCACTACCAAATGATAAGTGGTAGACAATTTTGAACGGGAACCCGCCACTGCTGTTAAGTGATTCAAAGAGTGAGGGTTGAAAGCCAGACCTAATACATTCCAGGTCATTTATTTTACAAATCTCCAAGGATACCTTTACTTTTAGTATTGTTGCTGACAACATATAAACTTGTTAGACTACTACGGGTAATCGCCGAGCGTAGCAGAGGTATGAAAAGAGTCATTTCTTTATGTTTATAAGCAATGACATCAGTATATGGACAAACTTCCAAAACTGAAGTTGGATAAACAAGGATTGAAATTTCCATCTATAAACAAATCACGTACGACAATATTTCATGTTGGCGGAGATT